TCAGTCATGGCTCAGCGGATGTCCTCCAGTGACATTGCTGTGGAGGACCCTACAGCTCAGGCATGGCAGTGCCATCAGGAGAGACAAGGGTCAATAACATTGAGAATGTTTTCTTTCCCCCTGTTGTTATTTCCTGGGATGTGGACATCACTTGCTAGGCCAGCATTTGTTGCTCATCCCTGATTGATCTCAGTGGCTTGGCAATTTCAGAGGACAGTTAAGAGTCATATCGTCGTTAGTCTGGAATCACGCAGACGCAGGATCACAAAGCATTGTCCATGTGCCACCAGGATGGAACAGTGGTCTACAGAAATTGAAATTGCTGGAGAAACTCAGCAGGTCTGGCAGCACGTGTGGGAAGAAAGCAGAGTTAACGTTTCAAGTCCAGTGACTTATCAGAGCCGAACTTGAACAGCCGAATATTTTGTTAGGGCAAGTTCTGTTTAGAACTTGCATTAATGTAGCACCCCTCTCAAGCCCCAGCAGATATCCTTCCCTAAAGGGAATCAGGTGGGTTTTTATGGGAGGAAAAAAAAAATTAGGTAGACATTCTAAACTGGCTCCCAGTTAGTCACTTAAATTCACATTCTAACAGCTGTTCCAGTTGCATTGAACCCATTTACCTGGCTCTGTGGATTAGTAATCTAGCAACAATACCACTTGGCTGTCATCTTCCCTTGAGTGTTTATGCAGCAAAACCAGTATCAAGGGTATTTAAAGCTTTATTTCTGTGTAAAAGATTAGAGAGATCTTTACTCTGTATCTTACCACATGCTGTCCCTGTCCTAGCAGTGTTTGTTGGCGATAGTGTCATGGAGCTTTACTTTCAGTTGAAAAGAGTAGAGAAAAGTTTAATTTCGGTTTAAAAGAGTAGAGGGAGCTTAACTCTGTATCTAACCCTGTGCCGTCCCTGTCCTGGGAGTGTTTGATGGCAGTAGTGTCAAGGGAGCTTTAGTTTAAGTTTAAAAGGGTAGAGGGAGCTTTAATTTCAGTTTCAAAGGGTAGAGGCCATCTCGATATTGTCCCAAAGCATGTTGGTTTGTCTTGGACATTAGAATCCTGAATCTGTTGAATGAAATAGTTTGCTTCCTTGTGAAGTCTGATTGTGTGCCCTGGGACTCTCTGATCGTTTCATAAGTGACCTGTTACTTTGACTTGCAGTGATCAAAGTTACCTTAACTTCTGTTTGTGTGGAACCGTCACTTTAAGATTGACTTGAGGCTGGACTTCTGGTTGTCTTAAAGGCAGAATTCTTTCGCTCCCTTCACTGTGCTCTCCCCAACCCCCATCCCGTAGACTTTAGGGGATGTTAGCTGCTTTATGTAGGTGAAGCCAGCAGATATTTTGACTGGGGTTAAAATTGTATCAGAGATAGTAGGAACTGCAGATGC